CATTTGACATATTTCTACTTATGATCACAGTAACCATGCTGTGAGAGATAAGGTTACACACAGAACCAAAAAACCAAACAACCCACAAACTGCCCTTCTACGCCAATGGAGTTGTAAGAGATAAGGTCAAATCCTTGTCAGACATGAGTATTTACTTATGATTTCATGGCTATTTTGCTCGTTCAGTATTGAATGTTCGTCAACATCAGTACACAGTAAAAGTACTCAGCAGAAAGAATTTGAACACAAACATGGCAGATTCCAAATCCCATATTCTTCCCACTGTTACAACGGGCTGCTTCTCATACTACACAGCCACCAAAGGGTCTATCACAAAGCAGGGAACAATTCCTAAATCTAAACTTAACAGTTAAGTATGTCAGTTTGGACATGATAAACAGGTGATAAACCAGAGGAGCTGGTTCTGAGTAACATGTCGGAGGAAGAACTTCAAAGAAACTTGAGATGGTTCCTTTAAATAAGAAAGGCTTGGGAGAGATGTCTTCTTCAGCGTCTACTAGTGTAGCACTGTTGCCTGCAAGATGAATTGACTTCCTTCATGTTATTCCAAAGGGCTAGAGGTTGCAGGAAGTTTTCTTTCACTCATATAAGAAAAAGTTTCCTAACATTTAGGTTACTCAATGATGGGCTATGTTGTCATGAAACAGATGTGAAAGACCTAGTGTTGTATATTTCCTGGGATGACTGAAAGGCCCAGGTGTCCCATATGCTCCCACTCACTCATTATCATGGGGTCAACTCCAATCCACAGTGGCCCCACAGGACAAAGGAGAAATGTCCCTGTTGGTTTCCAAGGCTGCCAATCTTTTTGTTTGTTTGTTTGTTTTATTAGGGGCTCATACAACTCTTATCACAATCCATACACACATCAATTGTGTAAAGCACATTTGTACATTCATTACCCTCATTGTTCTCAAAACATTTGGTCTCCACTTAAGCCCCCGACATCAGGTCCTCTTTTTTTCCCCTCCCTCCACGCTCCCCCTTCCCTCATGAACCCTTGATAATTTATAAATTATTATTGTGTCATATCTTGTCCTGTCCGACGTCTCCCTTCACCCACTTTTCTGTTGTCCATACCCCAGGGAGGAGGTCACATGTAGATCCTTGTAATCGGTTCCCCCTTTCCAACCCACTCTCCCTCTACCCTCCCAGTACCGCCACTCACACCACTGGTCCTGAAGGGATCATCCACCCTGGATTCCCTGTGTTTCCAGTTCCTATCTGTACCAGTGTACATCCTCTGGTCTAGCCAGGCTTGCAAGGTAGAATTCAGATCATGATAGTGGGGGGCAGAGGAAGCATTTAGGAACTAGAGGAAAGTTGTCTTTTTCATCATTGCTACATCGCACCCTGACTGGCTCGTCTCCTCCCCTAGACCCCTCTGCAAGGGGATCTCCAGTGGCCTATAAATGGGCGTTGGGTCTCCACTCCGCACTCCCCGCCTCATTGACTATGGTAAGATTTTTTGTTCTGATGATGCCTGATAACTGATCCCTTTGGCAACTTGTGATCACACATTCTGGTGTGCTTCTTCTATGTGGGCTTTGTTGCTTCTGAGCTAGATGGCCACTTGTTTATCTTCAAGCCTTTAAGACCCCAGACACTATATCTTTTGATAGCCGGTCACCATCAGCTTTCTTCACCACATTTGCTTATTCACCCGCTTTGTCTTCAGCAGTTGTGTCAGGAAGGTGAGCATGACAGAATAAGGCTGTCAATCTTAACAGGAGTAGAAAGCCTCATATCTCTCCCAAGGAGAAGCTGGTGGTTTCAGACTGCTGACTTTGTGGTTAGCACACCAATGTGTAAACTACAAAGCCACCAGGGCTCCTACATGTCACATGGAAAAGGAATATTTGCCAGCCCTATCTTTTTCTCCCCCTCAACCCATAGAAGATCTTTAAACACAGTCTAAGACTAACAAACAGGTAACGTCCACCAGGAGCGGTGTCATATCTTTAAGCAGAGGTCAGATGAACATCTACCAGAGATGGTCTAGAAGTCCTCAGGTTGACTAGACTGCATCCTGGATCTCGTCCAAAGTTAGAATTTGATAACTTTAAGTTTGCTTTTTCTGAAGTGCAGCCTGATGTCTAGAATTCCACATATCACAGAAATTATCTAATTTCTTGATTTAAAGTAGGAGCTGATTGAGGCACTGGAGTGCTTTTGAATAATTTAGGGACCTAAACTACATGTAAAGATTGTTGTTGTGGATTAGGCATGAGGCTGCTAGCCTCAAGGTTCAAACCCAATGGTTCAAACCCACCTGCTACTCCAAAGGAGAAATATGAGGCTGTATGCACCCTTAAAGAAATACAGTCTTTGATAGCCTAGGGAGCCATTCTAGTCTGTCCTATCATAGGGTCACTATGAGGAAGAAGCACCACTTGTCTGTCAGCTTGTTCTATTGTGGTGGCTTGTATATTGATGTCTTGGCTAGAAGCTATGTCACCGGTATTTCAAATGCCAACAGGGTCACTCAAAGTGAACAAGTTTCAGTGGAGCTTCCAGACCGGGAACAGAAAGCGGGGAAGGATTTGGCTCCCCATTTCAGAGGAAGTAGTTGCTGAAAACTTGACGCATACCTTGAAATCATCATCAGATACTAAAGGTCTAATAAATAGAAGCAGAACATTGTTGGAGATAGTGCTGGAGATGGGTTCCTCAGGCCCGGGGTGGGGGCGGGGGTGGGGGGTATGCAGAGCACTGAAAATGTAACTGAGGAAAAGCTGCTTTCTCAGAGTGGAGTGGACCGCAGTGACATGAAGGAAGTAGCGTCTATTGGAGTGGAGTCTACAGGATCTTCATTTACCAGCGAACATGACTCAAAGTAAGAAGAAACAACTGCACAAAATCTGCTCATGATCAGAACACAGAATTGCAAAGTAAGAATCTAGGAAAATTGAAGTCATCACAAATGAAATGGAATGCATAAAGATTGGTATCTGTGAGCTGAAATGGACTAGTATTGTCCATTGAATCAGAAAATCACATGATTTACTATGCCAGGTATAACACAATCAAGAGGAATGGTGTATTCATTGTCAAAAAGAATATTACAAAATCAATCTTGAAGTACAGTGCTATCTGTGATAGGATTATATCTATCTCCCTTCAAGGAAATCCAAATCGGTACAACTATAATTCAAATGTGTGCACCAACCAGAAAAACCAGTGATGAAGTAATTGAAGAATTCTGCCATGGACTTCATTCTTAAATTGATCAAACATTCAATCAAGGTACATTGATAACTATTGGTGATTGGAACGCAAAAGTTGGAAATAAAGCAGGAGAAATACTAGTTGGAAAATATGGACTTGGTGATAGAAACTAAGCTGAAGATCAAATGAGAGGAGTTTGCAAAACCAATGACTTGTGAATAATGAATATCGCTTTCAACAACACAGAAATCAATTGACTACATCCGTGGGAAGAGCCAATGAGAAGCTGAATATCAGCCGCTAAAACCATGCCTGCGACTGACTGTGGAACAGACCGTCAATTGGTCATATGTAAGTTCAGGTTAAAGCTAAAGAAAATTAAAACAAGTCCACAAGAATCAACATATATGACCTTAAGTCTATCCCATTTCAATTTTGAGAACATCTCAAAAGAATGGATTTGCTGCATTGAACACTAATGACAGAAGGGTTGAGGAACTATGGGAGGATATCAAGACCATCATTCATGAAGAAAGCAAAAGGCATTAAAAAGACAGGAAAGAAAGAAAAAATCCAAGTGGATGTCAGAAGAGTCTCTCAAAATGATGATGTCAAAGAGCTGAATGGAAATTTTAAAGGGCAGTTCCAGAAGACAATTATTATAATGAAATGTGCAAAGACCTAGAGTTAGAAGTCCAAAAAGAAGAGCATGCTCAGTGTGGCTTAAACTGAAAGAACTTAAGAAAAAATTCAAGCCACGAGCTGCAGTACTGAAAGATTCTATGGGCAAAATATTGAATGATGCAAGAAGCATCAAAAGAAAATGGAAATAATACAGAATCACTACAGCAAAAGGAACTAGTCAACGTGCTACCATTTCAGGAGGTAGCATATGAGCAAGAACCAAAGGTACTGAAGGAAACCAAAAACACGGCTCCAGGAATTGATGGAATACCAATCAAGATGTTTCAACAAGCTGATGAAGCACTGGACGCACTCACTCGTCTGTCTATACCAGGAAATTTGGAAGACAGCTACTTGGCCAACTGACTGGAAGAGGTCCATATTTGTCCCCATTCCAAAGAAAATGCTCAAATTATAGAACAGTATGATTTATCTCAGAGCCACTGAGCTACACAGTTCAAATGTACTGAATATCAAAACAACAAATTCAGCAATCGAGCATAAGAATATTGCTTCCAAGTGAGTCTGTTTAGCAACAGTGTTCACTGTCAAGCTCTACTTCCCAGTTGTTGATCCTGGGTAAGTAACGTAACCCCTCTATGCCTCCATTTTCTCATCTGCAAAAAATAAAGATGGGTGGGATAATGATAGTACCTACCTCGTCAAGTTGTTGTAAAGACTAGCCGGCATCTTGATTGCTAAGTGCCTATGATAGCTACTGGAACATCATAAGCATCCTGTATGTTACATACTGTCATTGTTGTTGTCGTCATACCGGAGTGTAATGTGATTTCAGCATGTTTCGATTGGCATGCGCAGATGACATTCTCAGCAACCAGCTCAGATAACTACTCTGAGATTGGCTCTCCTGAGTATTTAAAGTAAGTAGTTGTTTAACCTTAAAGCTCCAATTCTCTCACATCACACCTGGAAGTGAAACATTTTTTATTCCCATTTGCTTTGGGAACAGCCCAAGTCCCTCAGGACCAGAGAGGTGAATCCTTGAAATTAACTGAAAATAAAACCTAACCCTGCAGGATTTCTTTCTAAAGTAAACAGACTTGAACGCTGTGGCTCTTACAACGAATGTGAATGCAGCTAACACACTATTTGTTTTACCCTCTTAGATCTACCCGCTCAGAGTAACTGGCATGACGCCTACTCAGAATGCCAGAGTGAGTGAAAATGCCGCCATCGATCCTGAAGACAAATGGCACCAGAGAGCCCAACAGCTAAAGGTTAGTTGCTAGCTTGAAGTTTAAGTGTGTTTCAGAGGGGAGGGTGCTGCTGTCGATAAGTAATATGGCCTGACTTCCTACACTTACAGGTATTAATGTTTGCTTGAGAATAGTTACCCACCTTCCTCTGGGTTTGTACCCAGAGGTTTGTACCCTACTGGGTTTCTGCCCAGTAGGGCCATTGCTTGTTCAGAAAGTTAAGCCCATTCATTTTCCCAAAGGTTCTATTTCCTAAAGGAAAACCATCGTATCACTCTTTAAACATACAAATGTAAAACCACTCAGAGAAGGACGCCTCGGGGAAAATCACCGTTCCAAAATAATGCCCAATGCCTAAGTCTGTGCTGCTTCTGAATGTTTCTGTTTAGATTCGGCAACTACCCAGGGTCCCTAGGTGATGGCAAACACTCTCCTAGAAAATAGGGAGGAATCCCTAGAGCCTCACAGAACCCTCAGTTTCAGAAGGTAAAGCCCTTCTGGTAGTTTAGCAGCGGAACATCATCTTTAGCCATGGGCTCACTCAGATGAAACCCTAATGCAGTTTACAGGGAGTGTGTGAACTGTCCCCATCAGTGGCTTGTGGAGGAGAAATGGAAAGAGCATTAGCTGATGTCTCCTGGGGGCTGTATGGAGCAATCACTCTTCAAGGAGGTTTCCCCTCTGCTCTAGAAGGGGTGAGCCAGCCCCTAGAGTCTGTTGGCCCTATCAGTTAAACCATGTCACTGATAAAAGTAACAGAATGTTTTAAAGTTCATTCAGGCTTCCGAGAAACAGGCTGAACCATTTCTTTTTCTCCTCAATGACCTCCAAGTACCATTTAGAATGGCATATAAAAGTCCCTTAATAACAGCATTTTGTTCATCCAGAGCTTCCAGAACGTTGATGCCAGGGAAGTTACACTCAGTTGAGCCTCTGGGAACTGAAATATCTCTTGGCAATGGATCCTTGAAGATGGGCTCTACTGCCAGCCCAGAGAGGTGGAAAGAAACCACCCTTGTTATATATGTTGTGTAATGGTCTGGGTCAATAGATGTAGGCTTCTGGGCCTTGACCTGCCATTTACTTGATGCAAGATGTTGGGCAAGTCTCAATTTCCCCAGGCCTTAAGGCCTTCTTTATGAAATGCAGTCTTGGCCTAAAAACTTGAAGGTCCATCCCAGCTCCAGACTGCTGTGACCCTATGACCCTTTATTTCCAGTCCTTTTAGTTACTAGAGAAAGCACATTGCAAATAGGTAAGATAATCACAGCCTGTAGGAAACCACAGACTCCTCAGTCAGTAAAACTATTAAGGTAAAGTCATGTGCTGATTCATGGCCACAGCCCGAGTTGGCGACAGTAGAGGTGATGAAACAGATTCATGGAAGGACATCAGAAGAAAGTCAAGCGAATACTTTTCTTCTCTGTGTACACTGGAATTCATCTGTTGATAGCCTATTGCCAAATGACTGCAGCGAGGAACAAAATATCTAATAATTACTAGACCTGAATGGACAGCAACATAGATTGGCCTAAGGGATTTATTAAGTGCCCAGTGTATCCTTGACATTGGCTCACACTCACCAGGCTACTCTTCTTTCTCCTCTTCAATAACCCAAATTCATTGCATTCCTTCTGGTCTCCCTTCTGGTCTCTTGTGAAAAATGTCCCACCTCGCCTGCCCCTGCACTCTGCCCCTTTGATGCCTGTCCTCTGGACCACTCACACAGGCCTCATCAGACTGCCGTTTGGCATTAGCTGCTGATGGTGTGTCTCTTTTGTACCAACTACCCGCTAAGTTCTTGAGGATTAGAAATATTTTTCTCTATATCTCATAGCACAATGCTTTGCACAAAACTGACACTCAACAAGTCCTTACTGGTTGATTGCATAACATTTAAAGGTAATTTAATACACTTCCTAGTGAAAATGTGGCTCATTTAAAAAAATTTTCTGAAAAGATTAATTATCTGTCCTTCAGTAAACCTAGTCAATTCTAATGCTTGTAATAAGAAATATCTTCATGTAAAATCAAAATAATTCATACAGCAAATATTTACTGGGGAAATATTGGAGCCCTCACTATATTCTAGGTACTGGGGATTAGGTGCCTGACTTGAAAAGACATGATCAAAATAATAATAAGTCTTAAGAAAAGGTAAACAAACAAACATGGTCCCTACCCTCCTGAGCACAAAACAGTCATGTCACCAGGTTACAGTCATATCACGAGGAATATATTTGAGAGTAGGTAAAAAATTCAGTGAGACTAAAAAAGCACCTAATTCTGCCATACGAAGAAAACATCTCCAGAAGCGATAGCATTTGAACTGACCCAAGAAGAATGAATCAAAATGTGTCACACAGGCGAATAAGGAAGAGGGACTGATAGCATGAGAGAATACAATGTGGCCTGTGTATTGCATAGTTAAGTGACTAAAGAAAGTAGGAGGGTGGGAGGTATGGCAGGATGGGGCTGGGTAGTCTAGGTACATCGGTCAGTCAAAAGAATTTGGTTTTCTCCTGTGTACAATAGGAAGCCATGGCAATTGTTGAGCAGATTTGCCCAACATAATCGGGATTGCATATTACAAAAGTAACTCTGACCAGAGTCTAAGAATAAGTTGGAAAGAAGTAAGACTGACGTCATGACTAAGAACATAGGCCAACTTGACAAGGCCAGGATTCTCAGTGGGTTGACGGATAGTATGTAGTCAGCCTCCATTTTGTGACCTGGAGTGAAGAGTCAGTCAGTTGACGGCGTGCTTACCTGGGCCGTAGACTGCATACAATATAAAGAGAACGATTCTGGCAAAGCGCACGCCACCCCGACCCGCCTCGGTCTTGCATCTGATTGCTCCTCTAGTTCTTAAGTCATGAGTCAGCCACCTACCATCTGGTGTGGCAGGTTTGGGCTTCATCTGCTTCTGCAACCATGTGGGCTAAAAGCTTCCAGCCTGACGTCCAGCTCATGGACTTGACACTTGTCGGTCTTTCTTGAAATGAATCTCTCTGGATACATGAGGGAACTTCACATTTGTGTGGGAAAAGCCCATTGTCTTTTAATTCCATGTCTCCACAAACTCTGGAGCCCGGTCCTCTAGACCCTTCACAGGCAGGCTGCTCTATGGGGCCCAGCTGAAGGTGCCTGGGAATGAAGCCCGACCAGGACGGAGCTTTGCCGTGGTTTCTGCAAAACAAGAGAATAAGAAAGAAGCAGCACTTAGTCTGTTTTTGTCATAGATCCTCCAGACTTTTGGTTCATTTTTCATTGTGGTGGATACATCTTCTTCCACCAACTTAACACAGGGTCGCCATGTGTTAGCATTGACTTGGCAGCGATGGGTTTGGTTGGGGAATTTGTTAACTTCACTGGAGCAGATCAGCAGGTCTTTTCATCTCCGGAGCAGCTGTGGGTTCAAATTGCTGACCTTGTTTGCAGCTGAGCATTTGATCATGATGTCACCAGGGCTCCTGTAGGACAGGACTCAATCTCCCATACTCCCTTCTTAGGAATGGCTATGAAGAAGAGGAAAATGAGAAAGAATGGCTGGTTTCTAAATGTTTGATTAGTAATTCCAGTGCCACTGATGGGTGGGTAACTAGAGCATTCTTGGTGCTGGGACTGAAAGCGAAGTGGGCATGAGAATGAGTGGGCCCCATATTGACTCTGGAGGTAGCAGTGGGAAGGAAGTTTGGACACAGGAGTTGGTGATGCATATTTGCATCTTAAGCTTTGGGTAGTGGATTACAGCCTATAGGGCTTGCCCAGATTAGAAGAAAGGGGCCGTAGAGCATGGTTGACTTTAAGGGTAGGAAGCGAGAGAGAAAGAATGAATTATGGATCAAATGTTGCAAACTGTTAAAAATCGGCGAATCTGTGCACAGGCATTTGGAAGTTCTCTGTACTGCTCTTGCAATCTTTCTGGAAGTTAGAAATCATTTCAAAATAAAAGGGGGAAAGTGAAAAAGGGCCCATAAGATTTGGCATCTAAGAGGTCATTGGTAGCCTGAGAGGAGCATTTTTCTCCAGTGATGAGGACAAAGAGAGGGTGTGAAGGTCAAAGTGAAGCTGGGGGATGGAGACCAGAGCAGCCCACCCTCACCAAAGAATGAGATCAAATGATTCTTTCCTCCAGCTTTTTGTACAAAACACATTTGAAGGGGACAATCTTAAATGCATTTGCATCTGCTGAGAATGAGGAACTAGAGCTAAGGCAAGAGAAGGGAAAGGACAGGACAGGCCTGAGCAGCCGAGGGGCCAAAATGCCCGAGGCCATGGAAGCCCACGCTCTTTGACTGGAGAGCTATTGGGAGTCGGTGAGCCCCACCATCACTGTCTATGGAAGCATCTGAAATCTATAGTGCAAGCCAAGTAACCCTGTTAAATTAGCCTGGCCACGGGGCTCTCACTGTGCTGAGTCACCTTGCGTTCTCCTGGGAGTCTATGGAGGAGCCCTGGTGGTGCTGTGGGTCAGATGATGGGCTGTTCACCCCAAGGTTGTTGACACAAACTCAGCAGTCCCTCTGAGGGGAGCAACGAAGGAAGCGCTGTGCTCCTGTAAAGATAGTCAGAGCCAACTCCATCGCTGTGGGTGTGGAGTGGGGTAGTCTTTACAGGGTTTCCACATCTGAGAACTGGATCCTTGCTGGGCAGAGGCACTGGCAGAAGACTCTTCCCAGGTCAGGAACACTGTTGATGGGGATAACAAAGTGTGGGGAAGGAAGTACGGCCTGGGGGGACCTCTCCAATTAAGGAAATCTTCAAACGATGAACCCGATATTTTCTTTCTTGGCTCTAAAGTCATTCTTGATTCTCCCGGCAAGTAAAGCACACGATAGTCTGTATGGAGGACCTGTCAAAATGCATGTCCACGGCCTTTTCATCACAACCTGAGGAACCCTCCTGCCTTTCCAACGAGCTGTTCATCCGGGTTTGCCTCAGCACTGCCACCCGATCTGGGCTTCCTGGGCTTCCTTTCTTCGTCTGAACACAGCGTCTTTCCCTACTGGAAATCAGTG